AATGCAAACACATGTATGAATCGTTTAAGCATGATAATGTGCCACATTTCGACTCTCGAGGACTACACCACCACTTTTAACATGGTAATGCATGATTTCTACAATTTTCGAGTGTGGTCGATTCGAATATGTATTTCGATGTATTTTGCGGGCGTGCGCGCATTTTGGATGTCGTTTGACTTTGGATCGACGTAAAATACACGGAATGAAACATTCAGAGAGATACACAAGAGAGTGGGAGACGAAGATTTTGAAAAAAAAAAAACAACAACAACAAACGCAACACTAATTTCGAACAACATTGGTATGCAGGCAAGTGTAACGTACATCACATTTCATTTTATAGCCATTTTACCTCGCGTCGAGCATAACAAAAATGCTCCGAAATAACCATATCGCCATCACATACGCAACACCCTCCACCACTTGGTTTTGATGAACATCTATGCGAACTGTGTGTGTACGTGCATATGGAAATTTGGAACGCGTCAAACAAACATATGCGAATATATCGCGATTCACAGGGATTGTTCCTTCCGCAAAAAACACACGCAGATCATTTCATGCATCTTTTAAAATCTTCAAAGAACAAATGGGTTGTAAGATTTGCGGTTGCAGGAATCAACGTTATATATAGGTTTTATGATTTTAACGACTACGGTTCCTTTGTAAATATTTGAAGGGAATGCGTTTTTCGACGAAAGAAAACGTGAAAATTGTCACGAAATTTGTATCGATTTCACATTGAACGAAACTGTGATTGGGTTAATCCAACTGGGTTCAGTTGGTAATAGCCATTGAAGTGCTGGAAATACTCGGATATTTTTGAACATAAACATTATGACGAATATTTTCGATGAATTCGAGAGTATTCAAAATTCATGAATGAATTCGAATAATTTTTTACGCTCACTTAAACGATTCTCGGTTATTTTATGACTCAAGTCCATTTCCGTCCAAGAGAAAGAAAAAATATATCGAAATTACCATAATTTTGTTCAATTTCCGTTGAATGCTTATCATTTCCGCATGCGAAAAATAGTCCCTGTCGCACTTAACTTACATAATATTTGTGCTTGTAAAATGCTAATTTCGCGTTGTCGTCATCGCCGCTGCTGCCGTCGTCGTCGTTGATGTCGTGAAAATGAACAGACGTATCGAGAGTGAAACAAAGTCTCGAACTCGTTTAGTCGAATGTGTTTTTTTGTCTCTGTGTGTATGTCTTCGCTGTGCGCGGCGAGTGTTGGTATGTAAATGTGTGGTAAATGTGTTATTTGTCGCAATAAAAGCGGGTAGATTTGTATTTAAAAAATTTATGCATTCGATATGATGGTATAAATTCAATCTGTCTCTCTTCGCGTGTGTGAGTGCCTGAATTCCTTAGAGTGATCTGGAGCCACCGAGGCATTTGTAATGATTTTGGAGATAATTTTCGTGTGGTTTGGACTTTTTTTTTCTCACTGACTTCCTCCTCCTTTTCTTCATTGTTTTTTGTTTCATGCTGAAATCAGCGGAATTTATATAGCATAGCGGAACGAATTTATCAGCAAACCGGAACAAAACATTGAAACTGTATATATAACAATAATAATTTAATGGCCAATTTCCTTGTTTTGTTCCACATTCTTCGGCCCAGCTTGCGATTTTGATTGAAAATTATTTTCGATTTTTTCGTAGTGACGGCGGTTGCATGCACATTCGCAGCGGAACTCCCAAGACTATACCATGTGTGTTTTTTCGCACTTAGATGAGTGTATGTGAATTTGCCAGTGCATAATATATAAGCCAGTGTGTATCTTTCAAGAAGTGTTATTTCTTTAATCTACAGTTATCATCGAATGTTTGTTCCGACACGCGAAAATCCCAAACAAATCCATCATTGGGTAGCATTGGATTTTTTTTTTCACTTTGCGCTCACTAGTATCAACAAATCAGGGTAGTTTTAAAAACAAAAACAATAACGAAAAAGAAGTACGAGAACAACGACGAAAAAAAAATTGAACGAACGGAATACAGAGTTCGCGCCATGAATAAATGATACACAAAAGAGATATGGTTCGAAAAACAATGTCGAAGTGATTTGCTAGCGAACTGAACTCGAGACACGAGATTTTTATGAAGTTGAATTGGTTTTTATAACCGAGCACTCTTTCTACTTCTATCTCCTTTTTCTGTTCTTTTTTTCTCTGTCTTACTCTCGCTCTCTTAATGTCGTCCCTTGCTTTTGCTTTCATTCTTTTTTCCCTCTATCGCTCCCGCTTTGTTTTTCTCACGGGTTTCGTCGTGTATCCCATGCATGATCCACTCTTTACGATGATACAGAGTCATCGATAAAATAGTATTGGTTTTTGGCGAAAAAACACGTCTCGAATCAGTCGAAATTAATCGAAAGCTTGCAAAACCATGTAAAGTTGAAAGCAATTGTCTGAAAGTGAAAGGGTGAAAAATTATCAGCCATTCGAAAGCTGAAGCGCAATCGATATCGCTTTGGCTATTTGGTAGAAAACTTTGAAAGTGCTCAGTGTTTTTATTCGATTTTTTTTATTAACCCAAATAGCGTCACCGGTTTCTTCTAAAGAAGCATTCAGGTCAATGTATTTCGACAATTTCGATTGTGACGGCAGTGAATGTGAGGGCAGTAGTTTGTATATCCACTCGATGGCAAAGAAGTGAATCAATATCAATTGATTTTGGAAGCTGCACCATTGGAAGTGGATTTGTCGCGTCGATTTCAAAGATCCGCACTTAGGCCGAAAATATCCGCACTTAGGCCGATTGTAATGATGGTAGATCAATTGGCGCGAATTTTGTTTTGTCTAATTTAAAATGGCATTTTATTTAAATAAATCGCTTGGAATTGTTCTGCTCGGCAGCGACGGAAATTCAAATGTTGATGTGTATTTCTTTGGCATGAATGAAAGCCCGACAATTGCGCATAAATTTCAAAGTGCCACACCAATAAAACGTACAATGTTCATTAATATGAATGGCGTGTGCACAGTGAAGTCGATGGTGTTGTTGTGTTCATTGAGTTTTTGCCGCGTCGTTTTTTGGCAAAATGCGAAAAATCGAATCGATTATGTTTGTGTGATGGAGCATAATCGACCATTTGTATTGCGGAAACGGGGGCGGTGGAAGGAGGGAAGAATAGTGAAAGAAAGGGGATAAAGAGAAAACGGGGAAAATGTGAAAAAGATATCGAAAGAGATATGGTTGGAAGGGAGTAGAAAGGAACTGCTTTTTTATATATATAAAAAACAGACTCACACTCGTCGAGTGCAATAATTTGGATAGATAAATGTTACACTAGCACTATAAATAAGAGAGTTGGCGGTTGTTGGTGCGCGTTCTGTTTTCTTCATTGGCCATTGTTCGACTTCTGTTGCAGCCCGTGTCGATGTTGTACCAAACACACACACAGACACATAGAAAAGGTTGATTTATAACATGAAATTGTTGGGAAAAATTTCGCGAGCAAGAGATAACCATTTCGTAGTCGCGAATGCCGGATTTCGATAAATTTTTGCGAAAAACGCGAGACTGTCCGATATCGAAACGGATACGCGCCCCACAAGAAAGATAACCGGAAAATGTTCGGTTTTCATCTTGTGTTCTATTCACTTCTCTTTTGTTGTTGTAATATTTTTGTTTTGTGTTGTGGTTTTGTGGCGCTGACAGCAAGTATAGAAATCCGGTGGCTAAACGATGATAGAACGTATATATTCGTTTGGTTGCGCTGTTGTTTTTCTATTATTCGTCCACCATGTTCAATGAAAAATGATTCGATTCTTGAAACTACCCCATCATGGCACCGAATAGACAAACTACAAAAGAATGTTTTAGGCGAAAGACTGGTGGCTCGTTGCTGCGTATTTGCTGCGTGGCCCGCACTAAATCTGTAATATTTTATGCAAATGATGATGAGCCTTTTCTGGTCCGTTCGCATGAATTACACAACGGCGCATTATTCCTTTGTGCCATATATAGAAATGCATATATTCCGTTTCGTAGATATCTGCATGTAATTTTTATACCAAATATCATAAATCACGTCATTCACATTCCAAGCCGAACGCGCCACTCTTAACAAAACGCATCACACACACCACCGATAGATATATAACATTGCCAATCGTAAACTACACACAAGATTTTTGGCCTGCATTGATTCAATTGGCCTGCCTCCCTTTTTTACTTCGCTTGTCTGTTTCTTTCCCGCTCTGTCTCATTCCCTGTCTGTCTGCCTTTCACTCATGCATTGAAGTGCTTATCCAATAGTTTTTTTTAGCAAGATAAACACCAGACTGAAACGAACAATGGAGACAAAAATTGATTGAAAAAAATTGGATTCGCAGCGTTAAATCAATTTTGGCTTCGAAGATAAGATTTTTTTGATTTGTTTTTTTTTTCGCGGCTCCATTCTCAACGAAGAATATTGAAAATGAAAAATTACAAATGCTGTTTTTGAAAGCTTTACACGCAGAAGAACAAAGTCCGATCAATTTATTGGAACGTGATTGGGATCAAAAGTTCATTGCTTTTTTGATCTGGTCAAGCCTTGTTTGTTTTCAACTTCGATTTGGATAAAATTTATTTGTTTCGCGTCTTCATCTCATGATATCAATCTATACACCAAATATTGGACACTACGATGTTAAAAATTACGATTTTTGATACAAAATAATGTAATGACCTTTCGTCTAGTCGAGATAAGGTGTCATTTTTCTAGTCACTATAACATTTTGAGTGTATACTATTATTCTTGATGTAAACAATAAATTTACGCGAAAAATTATTCTGGAAACAACCAATTTCTGATTTTTTTCTTTTTGTTTGAATGATAATTTAAAAATTTGACACGGAAATAAAGTTGAACATTTAGACAAATGAATTAGAACAAAATTAAAAGTAACAAACTTCATGATGATATCAAATGTCAAAAATCAGACAGAACAATGAGAACATTATGCTGCACAAAGAGACACATATCAGTCGGGTTGGAGATGTCAACGAAAGTAGATCGTGAATAAAACGTAACTAGGTGCTCCAAAAGGAAAACAATTTTCAATCGTCGCTTAGGCACAAGTAAACGGAAAGGTAAACCGAGAAATGTTTTTTCGATTTGATCCATTTAGACTTTCGAGTATTGGAAAATGTTGAATTTTATTTGAAAAAAAATTAAAAGATTGGGTCAAGTTGAAACACTAACCTCATTGTTTTATTACAAAACAAAATACGTATCCCGTTTTGTATTATGCCACTCGATGGCTTGTGTTTGCTTAAAATTAGTATAATTTCATGAAAATCGATTCTGATTCGTTGATGGTTTATTGGAAATACTAAAGTTTTATGTATCTGATGATTTACGTGGTAAAGAAAGTGTTTTTGATATTCATATTCTTATGATCCTATTGCACTGATTAAATAACTAATTGAGATTTTATTTGGCGAATGAATGAGATATTATTTGGAATAATAGAATTTCTTCAATAAACATTATCAATCACAAGTTCTAAGAAAATTCCAGAACATTGACAATTGCACAAACAAAAACTAACCTCACATTTATATCAATTGATTTTCTCTCTATCAAATAGGACCACGATGAATCCGTATCAAACAAAAGGTGCTTTGGGTGGAAGAGCTAAGTGCAAATACCAACGCAAAGGAAGACACTCACAAGTCCAAATCAAAAAAGAAATTGATGTAAAAATGGAGCCAGGAGATGGTGTTGATCTGATTGCATACCCACAGTTGTCATCACAATCACCAGTCGAAGCCGGCACTATGACAAAATCAGAAAGCGAAAGTGATATCGAGTATGTTCCATACGATGCTGACTGTGTGAAGGACGAGATCAAATCGGAGGAAGAGGAATGTTTGAAGAAAAAGCATGATGCAGCACCGAAGGCAAGCTCAAACGAAGGTGGAAATGATGATCCAATTGGCGATGATTTATGCAATGAAAGACCAAATTCAAGCAACAATCGTAAACAGCATGCAAAAGGAAAGAAGCCAAAAGGCGGAAAATCAAAGGGTTCCAAGAAACCATCGAATGGTCGAGCCACCATTGGACAGAAAAAGCACAAATGTCATTTCTGTGATTATGTGACAAAAAAGAAATCAAATCTCACAACACACATTCGAAGGCATACGGGCGAAAAGCCCTTTGAATGCAAAGTATGTGCCAAGGCTTTTTCTCAAAAGAGCAATTTGAAAAGCCATAAGAAAATCCACGGACCAAAATATCAATTTCGTTGTTTGAAATGTGGTCAGCGATTTGCCGAAGAAGCTGAAAAACAATCACACGAAGAGGGATGTAACCCTCGACGATACGAATGCTATCTCTGTGAATACAAATCCTACAAATCCTTCCACCGTGGTTATTTGAAGTATCACATGCGATTGAAGCACACTGATGATAAACCATTTCAATGTGCTGCTTGTGGAAGGAAATTCGTTTAGAAAGGTAATTTCAACCGACATTTGGCAATACAGTGCAAACTTCGCCCATACCGCTGCACACAATGCCATCGACCATTTGCTAAGGTAGACGATAAAGATCAACATCAAGTGCAATGCAAACGTCGTTGCTATCAATGCTACCTTTGTAAAAAGATCATGCAATATACAACGCACTTAAAACTCCACATGCGTAACCATCACACAGGAGAAAAACCGTTTCCATGCAAATTGTGTGATGCTCGTTTTTCAATGCTTGGTGATGCCAATCAACATATGAAGAATATTCACGGTATGAAGGAGTGATCGTTCATCTATGTAAAGAAGTCAAATCAATCCATTAAAGAAGTTCACTGAATTCTCGTTAAAATAATCTTCTGATCTTGAACGATTCAAATACAATATTAACTTGAAATTACAGTTATTAATAAAATTAGATATTCTCATTCCCAGAAAATGGTGAATAACTTTTATAAAATGAAACAGATTGAATAAAAAGACAAACAATTGAATCCAAACAATTTATATTTAGTAATAAGGAATTTATTATGAACGCATTGACTTGAACAGAATAAAGAAAATCGGCATTGAATCTCTGGATATTTCATTCCAAATACATTTTTTATTTTCGGAATTGTTTGAAATACAGATTTGAAACTATTCTAACTAGGAATTAAAGGTAAGGTAAATGTCACTGTAAGGTAATTAATATTGACCTATCGTACACCAGGCTGGATATCAACTTGGTTTAACTTATAAAATATGAAGTAAATTAAAAATGATAAACAAAAAGCACATCAAAAACAACGATGTCGATCGATTTATCTCGGTTAAAAACACATTCTTTAGTTTTCCCCATACCATTCTTATGCTGTAGTGCAGATGATCGATTTCCACCAAACAATCTTCCGAAACAACAAAATCCTCTTGTTATGAATTTCTAATGAAAAATCGAAATTTTAATGAAAACTTCCTTGTGGATTATTTGCAAAATTACAGCTTTTGATTAATTCTTTTCCATCGCTCAAATGCTTTGAGTTACAGGTTCGGTATTGACCAGATTCCAGCAGACGACGTTTCCAGTTGATTGTATTGCATACACTTCAATTCTTGATTTGGTTTCAATTTAACACATATTATTACAAAATTATTAAAATGTATAGTGTGATTCGTGTTTTGTACCAAAATATTTGAAAACTTACTGTAATTGAATTTCATATGAACTCCATAGTTTTCAGCATACGAAGTTAAATTCTTGGAAACAGATTCAATTTGCAATGCCTGTGGAGCTGACGTTAAATATTAAAAGCATGTTTAAATTATGTGCACTTTCTTTTCGACTACGCTTTGGACATCTACAGAAATTTCATTTATAACCGACCAGAATTTTTCCTCTTCCTCAGTTTTGGTTGCAAATATTTGATCATTTATTCAAAATGAATATAACAACAACGTCATATGTGTGCAAATTAAAACTATCCGAGAAACTTGATGAAATAATGAAATAGTAAAAGAGAGGGAGAGAAGGAGAGAGGGAGGAATGGAAAAGAGAACGAAGAGAAAAATATGTGTTATGTTCATTTGAAATTGGACAAAATACATTTTGAATGTTCGGGAGCTGCAAACAAAGTTCCAAGAATTATTTCAAACATCACATTGCTTTATTAAGTTGAGTTGCATGGTTAAAGTATCACAAAAAAATGTGTCAAAGGTGATAAATACACAATTCAACCGTTGAAGCCTCTATTTGGGTTACACTTTTTCAACACTTTTTGGTTATTTCTTTCTGGTTCTTTTTATTATATTTTCTTCTTTTTTTGTTGCTTCATTTTGTACATGAAAAACAATTTCACGTCCAATTCTCGATTTACTCCACAGAAAACGAGCCTTTTTGTGTCGCATCTCTCGACTTTCATTCATCGCTAATGAATTAAGTAAATTAATGTTTTAGGAATTCCCGTATTAAATGAGTTTTCTGGAATGATGCCATTTTTTTTCTTTCAAGGCAACACAAATGCCCAAGCATAATTGAAACAATTTCGTTTGATTACAATTGAAACGTAGCGCTTTGAAAAATCCAAAAAATTCTCTCTTTTTTTTCTTGACAAAATCTCATCACACAATTTTTTGTTCCTCACTACAGTTCGTTGGTATTTTTTCCACCCTCTGTGTGCGGTGTGTGTGATGTGACGTGAAAAAGTAATATAACCTAGGCATGTGTGTGTGTTTGTAGCAAAGAATCGTCAGGCGATTAACTTTTCAGTCTGGTGTCGACGTTTTGTGGCTTGATTCTGTTTATTGGCAATGGAAACCGTGTATATGTTGCAACAACAACAAAAAAACTGAAAATAAATCTAATTAGTTGGGTGATACATTTCATTGTGGTAACGATGAATTAAAGGATTCGCATTGAAATATGCGGCAGGCAGCATTCAAGCTCAGTAATTCGTTACACCTTTATTTATATTTATAGAATTTAAAAGAGATGGTCGTCGTCACGCGTTTTCATTTTCGAATATGGTTTTGTGGAGATTTGGCATTGATTTGTTGCGCGCTTAAGCCTTTGCAACCAAACAAGAGACATGGATTTGAAAATACACCAGAGTCGAAACGATACACACCAAGAGACATATCAAATGGCACATACGCGCCACAGTAAAATGAAGCAAAAGATTTATTGTGCATTAACCTGCATATAAAATGTGGACTAAATCCAATTCCATTGGCGAGCAAAAATTATCAAATTTCTTTGCACGAATATTGTGAAACGTCGACGTGTCTGACAATGCTTGTATTGCATTGGGGGGGCCAGTTAAAATTTGAATTACATGCTGTCCGAAATTTAATCTTCACGCAATATACAACGATAGCAATCGCATGGAATAATCATAAAACATGGTGGAAAAACAAACATAAAACCGATTTTATATGAGCGATATAAAACCATTCATTTTGCACTGAAATTTTCATCGTCGTTATCCATAATGAGGCAATGTATGTCAATTTTATGGGTTTCACACTGAAAAAGCGATAAAAAGAAAGTGCATTGCCCGCCGCCGTAATTTTAAGACTGTATCAAAACCGAAGTGGTGTCGAGGGTGTTTGCACGAGGTTCAAGCAACCTCTCTTTGGTAAATTGACACAATTAAAAAACACATTTTAGCTAATTGGTTAATTGAAATTCAACTGCCGATGGATGGTGATGAGTCGCGTGGGAAATAGTCAAAATGCAACAAATCAGTTCGGCTGGTTTTGAGGTCGCGCATTAAACACTCAAATCAATCGAAAGACATATGCATTAATGTGTGATGAGAGGATGGTGTATGTGTATGCAAGATCAAATACAGTCGATTTCAGCCACTTCGCTGGCGCATACACGTGTTGGCAACACCAATTCAATCACATTTAATTAGGCTGTTTGCCATTAATTCCCGTTACATTCGTAATGGAATTACCAATTAAAATACAATTTCGTGCAATTGTTCGCAATGCTATTGTCAATTAAAATCACTCCATCTCACATTCACGCGCATTTTCTTTCACTCTCCTTCCCTCCTTTTACTCTTTCACCCTCCTTCTCTAACCCTCGCTGTCACTCTCTTTAACACTCGATCTATCTGTTTCTCTTTCGCTCTGCCTCTTGCTCTTACTCTCGCTTCCTCTCGCACCCCCTCCCTCGTTTTGCCTCCTCTCTCCTCACTGTTGGAAGCTAAAAGACTAAAGTGTTCTGCGTGCGCGTTCTCGTCGATTCCAATTTAATGTGAAACTAATTAAATTTTAATTAACAAATGCGCATTCCATTTTTCTCATTTTACTTCGACGTAAAAAATCGAAATCGTGAATTTGTTCGCGGCTTAAGTTGATTTGCGGATATTTTCCCCTCACTTGTATTTGTTTTGTAAAGAAAAAGAAGAAGAAAGAAAGAAAGTGAAAAAAAAAGTTGTATACAGCCGAAAAGTTGTGTTTTGTTCTGATTGAAGCAACGACACACACACACACATACAAAACTGGTCCGTTTGTTGTTTCGACATTTCCTGATAGTCATATTGTACAAAGTCTCGATGTGCTGTTGATTGTCAAGGGAAATCAGTGGTTGGTTTGAATCGACAGCGCCAAAAGCGCTCCCATCGCTTTCAAAAACTATTCCACCAAAACAACAATTTCGGAAGCTTTTTTGTTGTCACAAAAAGTATTTATCAACTACTTTTATTGAAAGCGATTTGTTTGTCGGCATTTCTTTGTCACATCCATTCCGTGCATTCAAGGTAAAATCATCATTAAAAAAGTATTTTCAAGAAGAAAATAAAAAAGTTTCATCGATCGTCATTAGTGTGTGTGTGTGTGTGTGTGTTCGTTGTGCGCTCGAGCAGCTGGAAAAATTCCTGGCATAACATTGAAATGTGTTCTTTTTTCTCTCATCTGTCAAAAAGAAAGTTATGAAAAGAAGCAGAATTTCATTTTGTATCGTCGGTTGTTATGTGTATTCAAATTGGCTTGAAAATTGGCGCGTATTCTTCATCACGAGTTGAAGAAACAGGGAATTGTCGTGTTTTAAAATTGAATGTGTGACAAGGAAATGGGAACGAGCAAAACTGTCGTTGTGAATACTAAAAAAAAAACAGGAACAACTTCACATCAACAACAAAACAAGCGACAACAATAAAACGAATATGTTTAAAAATAAAAACATTCACCAAGTTTTCGGGCATGATGATGGCTGATAATGATGGTGTGTGTACGAGTGACAGAGTGTGTATATGTGGTGGCAGGAGAGACTTTTGTTTTCGCCAAGAAAATGATTCGTTTTTCATGTGAAATGTGGGTGCGTGTGGTTTTTCTGGTTTTTGCGGTTGTTCAGCATAATACATTGTACGAATGTCGACGACAAAATATCTAAATTGTGTCACATTCAAAATAATAGAATGACAAACAGTCACACATTCGTTCGGTTTGCTAAATCAATTTTACACGAGAAAATATATATTCACGTTGTTTCACTGATGACGTTTTTGTACGAGCGCATTACCATCACGCGCACACAAATTTTGGTAATGTTGGCGTGGGGGGGGGGGGGGGGGGGGGTGATGGTGTTTTGCGTATGTGTGATTGTCATCGACGAAATTAACAAAGTTAAGTTTTTTTTATATTTGCTTTTGTGTTCGGTGCC